ACTTCGTTTCGTTTGTTTCTCGCCTCGAATCAACGAGCCGTTTGAAAATGAAACTAGCCGCGGACGTACAAGCTATACTATCCCCTCATTTGTCACTCCTTATACGACACCGGTCGACAGTGCATGGGAGAGAGGGAGCTGCCTCTCGCGTTCCCGACAGAGTCGCGCGAAATGCTCCGAGAAGGCGTGTCCGGCTGACGATCTGGTAACTGCCTGTGAATAATTTAAGCCTTCCTTTGCTCCCTCATTCGCCCGCGAGGGGGAAAGGGATGCGACGTCGCTCGATCTCATCCGTGGCGAACCGCAGATAAGTGCTTTTTTGTATACACGTGTATATGTATATATACGTACGTACGCCTCGAACTTTTTGCTCGCTATCTTTGCTGTTATTTTTTATTACCCTACAGTCGATTGTACTTTGTTTTGCCTTGGTTTCAGCTGCATGTAGCCCAACTAGATTTTTTTTTTTTTTTCCTTTATTTTGAAGCGCGTGATAAAATTTCGTGGTTGTTGTTGCTCGTGGGACGGAAAAAAAAAAAAAGAAAAAAAAGAAAAAGGAGTAAAACGACATGGTTTAGGGGAAAAATTGCGGTTCGCCCGCAAAGTACATAATTTGGTACACCGCCAAAAACACGATTTTTAATAAAGAAATAATTTTGTTTCTCGAGTATATAACGACTAACCGCAATCTAGTTGTATGATTCATGAAGGTCGATGCTTTTTCGTGTACATGTAGACACACAATGTGCGTCGAATAAGTAGTAATACCCGTGTTGGGTAAGACACTTAGTTTATACGGCTAGTTTTATTAAATTGTGTAATACTTATGGATGGCCTGCCAATCTTGAGGACAATTGTTTTATGAAATTTTCAAACTCTTTGGAATAAAAATTTTTTTTCCTAGAAGTCTAATGTAAACATTTTTTTTTAATTGTTCAGTACAGCTTTTAAGGTACTTGATAAAATTATTTCCAGTGAATAATAGTGTCATAAAATAAATGTTCACTCTGTTTTCTCCTACATTTTTTTCTGTTTTAAAATATAATTCATAATGCATTGAAAAAATACAACACAAATAAAATTATATTACGTAAATTGGACCTACTATAATCAAAATAACTGAGATAACAAGTCTAATTGATTGCTATATAAGAAAAATTTATGTTATATGCATTAATTGCGTTATGATAAATATATTAGTATTTACAAGTACTACTTGTTTTTTGAGTATCGAATTCAATCGTATGAGACATGGCTTCAAAAAGGATGTTCTGATAAAGCAATCAGCGTTGCATGGTTAGACTGGTTATTGGAGCTCATCTACAAAATACGATCGACACATCAAGTTATTGTGAATCATAAAATATTCACAGAAAAAACTGTAAATTCACTGAAGCGTAAATACTTGGATTGGCGGGTAAAATGTAGCGAAAAATGATGAGAACAAATAAATAAAAAGTTATCCCACAAGGCTCCGTGCACCCTAGCGATCTCAATGCATATTTCACGAGCGCAAAATTTGCAAACTTTTTTTTTCATTTCTCCATCTTCCCCACGGCACACCCATACTCGTCCCATCGTTATACTTCGCACAACCCCCGTACTTGGCATCGATCGACAAGTTTGCGGTAAATGTCCACACACTGCACAGGCCAATACGCAACTTTACAATCATACATCCACTTATCCTTGTATGGATTAACAAGTACGGGCTTGCGTGCGCAGGGACAAACGAGACGCCCTCAATAATCGATTAACCACGAACTTGTTGTACTTTACGCAGCTTTGCATGCCCCTCTACCATGTAATATACGAGCGCGGCAGTGGCTATAGGTACGACGTCCGTCAGTCTGGCTTTTGATGGATTACCCGAGGATATATGTATAGTATGTGTAGTGGATTAGCGAGTGATTGTTTTGATGCGAGTGATGGATGACAAGCTGGAATTTTCGTTCTAATAGCTGCTTATTTTGTGTGCAAGTGTTTTTTGCTACCCCCATTCCCCTTATTTTCGAAGGGAGTCGTAACTGCTTATTGGTGCAAATTGATTTGACTTGACGATTTCGAGGTGATGGACTTCTTCCGTTGATGAGCTTGGTTGTGCTTATTTTCCTGACTTCAAAGGCCAGTACTTTGTTGTTGCAAAAAAATTAATCGTTTCGCTCTTTGCTCGTTGGTTATTCCATTATCTTTGCGGTTCACCTGGATTAATATTTATTGAAAAATTACTGCCTTGCAACTACAGACAAGGGTATTTTTTTTTTTTTTATATATCCCATCGTAGTTTTTATTCGTAATATCATCTTCCGTTATCATCAAGACAACTCATCGGAGGCCCAAGAACTATCCCGACGAAAACTCGTTAGCTGGAGAAATAATGTGTACATACAACATCCAGTTGATGCGAAGCTTGCCTAAGTGCGTAATTGAATAGTGCACTCTAAATTACCGCACCAAAGTGCGTACACTTGTACTTTGTTGTTGGGAAACGTAAATACAATTTCCGGTAGTATCTTTGCAATTTCTAATGGCACTTTTTCGAGCAATTTCACCCTGATTACTCTTGAGCACAAACTCATACCACAACCCTCTACACTCATCGGCGTACACGTTTGTAGTTTTATTTCATTATTTTCCTTAGTATGCCATTCCGTGACGTATGATGACGTTTTTATCGACATATTTGAGCTCGGAACACATTACACCATGACTTCAACGATATGGCAACGTGGCGCATGGGTGGTGATGAGTTACGCGATTGTATAGACGCATAAAAATTGTAATAACCGTAGTTACGGGGTAACGCGGTGCGATAAAAAAAAAAGCAACAAATCACCAGATCATTACACGCGCATACAATTAATTATCCGGGCAATCCAATGAGAGGCAGAGGAAGGGGGTGAAAAGAGAAAAACCAAAACGCGCACGTTTCGCTCTCTCTGTGTCCATTAGGGCAAGATTCATCTCTGCAAAAAAAAAAAAAAAAAATAATAAGTGTAAAAATAGGTGTACGGAATTGCAAAGAGCGAGTAAGGAGCAAGAACTGATGGGGTGGCAAAGCGTGAAGATGGGGGGGGGCTGGGGAAATCAGACAGCACGGCTGTCTCTCTCTGCCCCCACCCCCGTTATTTCAATTGGTCGACGCGCGACTGCCCCCACCTCTTTTATGGCGCGGCTCGTTTGGGGCCTGACCCGCTCAGGCTCCGCCTTTTCTAACCAGTGTGTTACACGCTCTCCCCTCCATCGCTGGCCTCGTGTGTACTTTATTTTTACGAGAAAGACGCGTATATAGAGGCTGGCCCAACCGAGTCTCTGTACACCTTTCAGGGGTGCACTCCGCGTGTGTGTGTCTATCATCTCCCTATCAACGTTACCTCGAGGATTTAACGAGCGACAAACAGCCCCGAGATTGATTAAATTACGCGTAAATTTTCTTTTTAGCGCCCCTTTGTGGATCCAAAAAGGAGCAAGGAACGTATGCGTATGCGCCTTGCAGAATCATTGCTGTTGCTAATGATGCCCTCTTTTTCTGCACGAGACTGTAATTTTACGCAGTGCATTAAGGTCATTTGTACGGTTAAGACCACCGTTGGTTCATTCGTCACTTTCAAGCGTGACTTTTGGAAAATAGGTAACCACACGCAAGTAGTGTTGGAGGGGGGGTTTGAGAAATATTTCGATTGTTCTCCAGGGCATCACTTTGAACGGTGTGCCCAATATACTGTGAATGTACAAAGGATTTTCCAGTCTCATTCGGAAACTTTGCATTCGCTTCAAAATTTATACGGGCCAAGGTTTGATGTTTCTCTCTTTGGGAAGATTTTACGGAGGATAAACAATGTCTTCCAACACCTGTATTTTTTCACATCCATTTTGGTATCTTGCTTTTTCTTCTAGAATCTTTGATGAATTCTAGACTATAGGTGTAGTAAAATAGGAAATCTTTCGCCCATCTCATTAACAAAGTTTTATTCTACAATATAGTGTATAAGGTATAGGTAAGCGGTAGGAACTTTTTTATGTGGCATTTATATCTAAAAACTTGGATAAAAGATATGAAAGTAATACTTAGGTTGCGTTAATGATAAACATTAATAAAACATGTAAAAATATATTTCGTAGCTTATAGTGTTTGATGTTGAAAAATTTGTCAAATAATGACTTAGGTACGTATTAACATTTAAAGTGTAGTAAACTTATCAATTTACATGTATATTTTATAAGCTCATACCTATGGGTAGTGTATTATTTTTACCAAAAACTAATGATTACGAAAACTTAGCATGAATGTCAGTAGAACAATGACTTTGCGATTGGACAGTACCTTAAATTATCAGTACTTTTTACTGTATTATCTTAAAGACTGTTCATATCCGTACATCGTCTAATGAATGGATGATAAATATCGGTAAGAATGGCAAAACTTTATTTCACTTACCCACAAAAGTGTCAAATTTATACTTGAGTCGTTTTAAAAAATTCAAATAAATAGACAAGTACAATTAGTCAATGTCAATTTATTGTAGCATACTTGAAATCATCGATGTTATTTGTCACGGTTTACAACACATTATGTCATATTAAAAACTTTTACTTTATATCTCCATTATCAGGCATAACCTAGTTATTGTATATATCTTTGATGTCACAAGCCGTATAAATGTTCTGAAGTATATTATCCATGTACCATATATTATAATATATTAATACATCTTATCATACATATCAAGTGTGGGTAACAAGAATATCAATCTATTGATATCTAGGCACTATCAATCGTGTTTTTGTCCATAGGCGCGATCGAAGGGTATATTTTGAAATGTGTATGTGTATGCGTATATATAATATGAATGTATATGAGACTTATCACTCAGTAAAGATGATTGAATGTACACAATTTATCGCAGTTTTAGTAACGTCCCTTTAATTTTTATTGAAAATTCACGCAAATGTTGAATTTTTTTATTTTTCATGTAAGTAAAAAGAATATTATATGAATATATACTCATTAATTTTTTATTTATGCAAAAAACACAGTTTTTCTTTAGTACAAAAACTACAGATTTGTATGCGACATATCGTTTTATCGAATATATATGTACATAATATATTCGCGTGAAAAAGTTTTTTATCAATATCGTCCCGGGAGTATTGCAATGATGATGTGTTATTAAAATAAAAGCTGTGACACGTGATTCGTTATAAATATAAAAAATTAAGAAGATATCTTTGTGCGTCGCATAGTGCGTTTGCTTTGGTTATTTTCATATATATAAATTTTTTTTTTCTTATACATAAACAATTAATTGCACATTTGTCTAAAAGTGGTCGTTCAGTCCATATAACACTTACAACAAATTTTTTCAATAATTCTAAAAGAAAATAAAACATTTAGTAGTATTTTTAAATAAAACAAATGATGCGTAAGATAAAATGCTGGAAAATTTTTATGATTGCTTTTTTGGAGAACCAGAGTTGGAAGATTGACAGATAAAAATATTGCGATAACACTACACGCATGTGGTCACTTGATAAATCATCAAACACGCGTATCGCGTATATCGTAGTAAGGACTAGAAAAGCCTTGCTCTCTGAACGAATAATTACAAATTATAATGTAATGATTTCATGAATTGCATCTATAGTTAATAAATAAACAATGTTAATCGTAAAGATATATGTATAGATAACAACAACCGTCTTCGACCAAAATTTCGCAGCGTTAACAGCAGGTACTCGGTCGCTTTCAAACTTTTCGTCTGGTCGAACTTCAAAACTTGAAATAATATGACACACATTGTTACATCATATACACGTACGTATGCGGTGATTGAAAAACACATATGGAATTCGACGAAGTTATTAACTGCGTCTATGCGTTGATTGGTTCCGCACTAGCAGATCCGCACAGGAGGCTTCCTCTTTAGTTCGGGAGTTGGAGTTTTCACGAATGTCCTGTGAATCAACGAGTTGGCATTTTAATGTTGAAAAGAAACCGAGTACAGTAGAGGATGTGAAAATAATGATGACCCAATTTTTACGTATGTTATCTCTTTCGATTTATTTTTTCGCGTTAACTTCTGTTTTGGAAGGTAATCACGACGAATGGATTTTTCGTCCATTATCAACAGTGTCAATTTTTTGTTGGATATTTCTCAAACGTATGCGTAAACACAACTAATATTCACATCCCCTTGAAATTTAAATTATTGGTGTATAAATATTTTGTTAGTTGATGAAACTTTGTTAAAATTAGTTGTCATGAATTTTATTTCAATAATGCATCTTCTACTTAAATGTAGAAATCTAAAAGCAAGAGATTATTCACGTGCTAATTATTCTATAACAATCTCGGACTTTCATTTTACATTTTATGCTGAAATTTTTTTTTTTTTAATTCATTTAAATTGCAGCTTTTTTTCTATAATGAAGTGTATTGCAAGTAAAATGAGACTCCGAAATGGTTATTTAAAGATAAATGTATTATTATGATTGTAGTCTTAAACATATTTATTGATTAAAATTATTATTATTTTAACCAATAACCAAATAAACCTCTAAAAGTCAATGGCGGCTGAAAAGTGACACTACCAGAAATATTTTCAATAATCAGTTAATTATGCAGATATCGTTAGGTATTAGTTTTAAAATAATAAAAATTACATTGAAGAAAGTGGTGAAGTAAAAAAGCTTTACATGCAGGGATCATGCGGGATGAGAGAAATAATGTTGATGAAAAGATGCCAAGCAAGTTGTCAAAATAAATTTCTTAATGCCAGCTTACCTATCCTACTCGTTCAGAACAGGAAGTAGGGACCTTTGCGGTCAAAAAAAATTGCATTAAGATATGTTTTTATTTTAATCGTGTTTAAAATATCTTCATCTTGTCTTTTTTTTTTTTTTCAAACAACTTGATACTTAATAGAATACACAATAAACAAAAAGTAAAAATACATATTGTACTCGAAGAAAAAATTATAAAAAAAAAAAAAAAACAAATACACAATTACTACAGAAAGATATTTTATGGAATAATTTTACAGAAAAACAAACACTCAAGGGTCGGTGGTTTCACTTACAATTCTATGCTCTGTATGGTGGTGGTCGGGCACATTGACTCAACCTTTACGTGACAGTGTTTATGGCACTTCATTAGACAGTCTCGACATTCATAGCCTTGTTTGCCCAATCTTCGCGCCAGTGTTCTTTTGCACACGTCGCACGTGGTACCTCTGCGTAACGTGGAAAATCGTATTTATGTGAATAATATCGTGAAAAAATTTCGACTTGAATGTCATTCTTCAGAGAAAATTTATTTACCCCGAAATGTGCTTCGCAATGAATGTGTGGTCGTTGTAAATGTGAAGTTTTGTACCCTTTTTCTTCCATTTACTCTTTTGCGCCAAAGACAACGGAACAAGATAATGTCTGAAAAAAATACGGCGTTTTCGTGGATGAAAATTTTAATCAGTGGTAAAATCAAACAATTAGTAAAGGATCTTCTTACTTTCTGATGCCGTTTTCCAAAGTTTCCAGGACCAATGTCGACGCTTCATTGACGTATGTTTTTGATGATAACCCACTGACGACTGAAACTTCACTAATACTCGATCTCCTCGAGTGCTCATCTCGGCCTTTAAAATAAACGAGTCTTGTACATGAACAGTGGAGGAACGGAATAAAAGAAAAAATCTGGTTTTCTACTCTTTGTTTCCCATACTATATTTCTCTTGAAAATTCGCTATGTAGGGACGTGTACAAATTATTTTATCACTTTGCAGTAAGTTAAAATTAAAAGAAGTTGCATAAAAATTTCTTGGGTGAAAATTTAGTAAGTTACAAAACATGGACACATATATTCGAAAATTGAGTAGAAATTAAACAAAAAATAAAATTAATCGATATCAATCGAAACCATATTTTTAAATAAACTAACGATCGATCAACATTAAAGTGTGAATGAAAGCATTATCGGTAAAAAAGTTGAAGTATTCATAAAAAATTTGATTAGTATTCACATGAATACAATGTAACTAGTGTAGTAATTAATCATTAAAAATTAATATGTAGCAATGCTGCGTAACACCATAAATTATGTTACCTATTGCATTTAATGAATTTGATCACTGGTTGATATGATTATTGTGAACAATTTTTCGGATAAGTATCGCGTACCATGTTTTAAATCGCCAACATTAATATACAAATGGATATACATATAAACCATTCGAGAGTCGACAATAATCCACAAATAACGAATTTATCTGAGAATTGCTACGCTACCAACTGGGGTCGATAAGCAAGATTGCTGCAAATTCAAAGGTACTTACCGTCTCTAGCCCTATCAGCTGAAATTGACCTCGAATGTGCGTCTTCGTGATTTGGGTCACCGTCTGGTCCGACCGAGCTGCTCCGCGTTTTCGAGCGCCCCAGTCTTTTTTTGATTGTCCCAAAAAAGTCTCTGCGTTTTTTTCTGGTCCTTCCCCTATCCACTGCAATAATTATTGATATTTTATTTATCATCGACGGCTAGATTTCAATGTATAATATTAATTTTTATCATTGAAAACATTTTCTTACCATCCGAGTTTGAAGAATTGGCTGTACTGTCATGCCCAAGCGTTGACCTTAAATCTTTGTCCTCGAGCTGAAACAGAATTTCAGTAAAGTTTAACAGATAAATAAAAAATGTGATTTATACTTTATTTCTTTTTTTTTTCTTGTCTAATAAAANATACACACACATCATGTGACCGACTCGTCACTTCATGATGAAAACCTGTAATTAAGTTGTTCATCTTGTTTTTACCTTCATTAGGCTAAGTTTTATCGGTCACCGTGAGAAGATTGGTTTATTACACACGTGATTCTTTATGATGAAACAATAAAAAATAAATAAATAAATAAATAAATAAATGAAAAAAAATCATAACTAATAAACCAACAAATATTTTGCTGAACGAAATAGTGGGTAAGCGTTTTACTAGCTGCACGCGTTTTTTAAATTTGTATTTACCTCGGAAGACATTTCTTGCCATCCTCCATTCGCGTTCATGGTTACCTGTTAGCTTAATAAAAATAAAGAAAAAAACACACAAAACACTCAAGACATCGATCCGCGCTCGACGTAGCATTTTCACCCCCACCAGAAGTATTCGCATTCAAGTTCGACAAAGTCGTCGGATAAAAAGGAAAAAAAAAAAACTTGCATAAGTAATACAACTTTGAATAAAAAACAATTTTCAAAAAATAAATTTTTGACAATTAGAGATCAAACGTATTTTGGTTTTTGGCCAAACAAAAAAAAAAAACAACACACTCACCCTAACGATTTGACGCTCGGCCGGCTAAAAGGGGGCAAAAACCATGCGCTGTGATTAGCATTTTTGGAACTTCAAAAACAAATTTCACACACGCGTGTGAAGCTCTTTATTACGTAAATTGCAAGAAAATACTCTCACCCTCTGTTGACTGTGAACGATCAGTGTGCCCTTGTTACCATTTGTCTGGCCACTTCTGTACGGTGAATCCATCGATGTGCCGTTTGTTAAGAAATCTATAAAATAATCGGTATTAGCACGTTGGCAAAGAAAATTGTTTGAAAAAAAAAAAGGAAAGAAAGTTTTTATCGCTTGAAAAGTCATAATTTGTGTTTCAAGTAAGCAAAGTTCTCGGGAAAAATTAAATTCAAAATCAGAACGTCTACATCTCAGCTAAAAACACGTGCAAATTCTCAAACACTGCAATTCTCAGCGTCAAATTCCAAGTTAGCCGTGCACTAAACTACTTTGCCCTCTTGGGACCGATTCTAATGGGCTTCACATCACGCGAGGAGTAAAATCTCTAATAAACTCTTAACAAACTTTGCAAACATACTTCTCTAATAGCTTAAAAGGTCGTTTACCCATTTTTGGCACGTTTCCTAATTACATCCGTGACGAATTTTTGGCAACAAAATAGCTCGATTCGTCACTCTTCTGGCTTTTAATTTAAATCTCAATTTTTCTCCAATTACGCTCGGGTAATTGCAACCCAGGGCACAAATGATGATTTCAAGTTGTACACGATGAATGAGCGCGAACTAATGAACGTCGCAATGAAAATGGTTCGTGTATACAAATTTTATCAGAGTTTTGATTTTAGAAAATCTTTTTGGAGATCTACATGTACCAAACTGTAAGACGAAAAAACGCAAACTCACACACAATTGTCAATCGCTTGTCTCTACCTCGAATGTTCTACAAAGCGAAGAAAAATCAGGTAAAAGGGGCCATTCACTGTATCCAAAACCCACTGAGATGAAATCAGTTTTGCGAAAAGACTTTCTAAAATGAAAAAAAAAAATGTTTGATCTCAGCCAATATTTTTGGTTTCTCTCGCGTGATCCTTGGAAAATGCATGATATCGAAAGAAAAAAAAAACTTTTTTTAGAAATCAGTTTCAAATGGTCGTGTATTCAATGTGTATAGTCGACAAAATGATTTTCACACGTACGAACACAGACAGATATAAAAAAACGATTGGCTCAAACATTGGGTATAGTCGTTTTGCATTTTTCCTCGTATTTTATTCAAAACGCATCCACAGTTCACTTACATTTGTCAAATCACGTGAAACCCACTTGATTTATACAGCATGATATGTAACCGTGGCATTTCCCGAGAACCACGTGTAGAGCGATTTTTTCTGACGCGAACCCCGTTGGAATTAATTTTTTAGGGCAAATCGCTTTTAAATAGGAGCCGATTGAAAATACGTTCCAAACTACCCCTAAATGGGGTTGGAAGGCTATAGCACGCCCGCATGAACTCGCGATGTTGCCACATTGTTATTGGAGCTTAGTCGGTTAGCAGTGAGAACTATATCCATGTGCGCACGCAAGAGCGTCAGCTACTGCTGGTAACTTGAAGGTTGGATGTAAAAATTTTTACCTTGAGGTAAATATTGTCTGCTCCTTAAGTTGTCAGTTGTTTATCCACGCGCTTACTGTCTTTCTCACTCTCATGTTGGACAAAAACATCTTTAAATTTTTATACTTAAGTAATGTTA